GTGCTCCTCCTGGAATTTCAGGATTGAGAAATTAGGAGCCTTCAAGATCTATGATCTGAGCCAGTGAGTTGGCATGGCAGTGGCTGTGGGGGTGGGGGTGGCAGCGGGTGTTTCCAGAAGTATGGAGGGTGGGGAGATTTCACCTGTGCTTCCTCCGAGAAGACCCCAGAGTGCTCAGCCTAGGTGACAGGGTACCTGAACATTTTCACAGTTTGGTGTCTGCAGAGAATATTTGTGAAGCACGTGGAATCGAGCCCTTGTTGTGGCTTCAGTGGTGGAGTGTGGGTAAAGCTGCCCAGGCTTTGGCAGGGTGGGTACATGGCCCAGCTCACTCTCAAGGGCACCTCAGTTTTCAGCTGGGGGACTGGTGTGTCCATAACTTTTAGCTGCTTGGCTTACCGCTTCTCAGAGACTTAGTTGTGAATGGGTTGAGCAGTGCTCGTGTGTGAGGCAACATAGTGGTGGCTGTGGAAAGTGGATATCAAAATTGTTGTTTTTTATTACTTTAATAAAGTTGGAAAATTTTTCTTTGGAGGCAGGTAGCTGGGCCTTCCGAGCTGTGCTCAGGGGACCCAGAAGCCAATAATACTCAGCCAACAAGTGTGGTAGTTCAGAGCTAGGACACAAGGACACCTGCTTCTTGGGTCCTGTGATGTGCTGAACCCCCAGAGTCAAACCTGGCGATATTTAGGGGCCTTTGTGGCTGCACCCAATGATGGTCAGGAGACCACGTGGTTAAATTGGATTTTACCTAATTTTCATGTTTTCATTTGTACTGCTTAGTCATCACCTAGCAATAAAACAGTATTCCAAGACCATCTCTCTATGCATTTATATGTGTACAAGACTGACTGCATCCACCACCAAAGTTCCAGAAGGTTAAGCACCATCCTATTACCAGAAAGCTCCTCTATCAAGTCTCTTGGTAATTTATGGTTGGGTCTAACATCCAAATCTGTAACGCATTTCAAGTTAACTTTTGTATATGGTATCTGGTTTCTTTCTTTCTTCCTTTTCCTTCCTTCCTTCCTTCCTTCCTTCCTTCCTTCCCTCTCTCCCTCCCTCCCACTCCCTCTCCTTCCCTCCCTCCTTCCTACCGTCCCGCCCCGTCTCTCTCTCTCTCTCTCTCTCTCTCTCTCTCTCTCTCTCTCTCTCTCTTCTCTGTCCCTCTCTCTCTTTCTTTTTCCACATATGGCTGTCCAGTTTTCCTACCACCATTTGTTAAAGACGCTTTCCCTTCTCCAGTGTATAGTCTCAGTCTGTCATAGATTAGGTGTCTATATGTGTATGAATTTATTTCTGGACTCACCGTTTTATTTCATTGGTCTATGTGTCTGCTTTTGTTCAAATTCCAAATTGCGGGGGCGGGGGGGCAATGTTGGGGAATGGTGTGAGGGAACTTGGGGACATTAGAGCTAGGAAATGTACACTGGTGAAGGGATGGGTGTTGGAATATTGTATGACTGAAACCCAATCATGAACAACTTTGCAAGGGCCTATCTCACAGTGATTCAATTAAAAAAAAAGTAATTCCGAATTGTTTTAATTATAATTTATTTGTAATTTAGTTGTTTTGTTTTATGGGGACCACTCTAGTTGTGGTTGAAGGCAATACTAGAGATGGAACACAGGGCCTGCACTTGCCTGAGCTATCCCCCTAAACCACATAAAAGAATTTGTTTGCAATTAGGGAGCTTAATGTCTCCATTTTTCTTGTCCTTCAGAATTGCTTTCATTATTTGGTTTCAAACAAATGTTAGAATAGTTTATTCTATTTTCTTAGAAAATGCCAATGGCATTTAATAGGGAGTGCAGTGAATCTGCAGATGTCTTTATGTAAGATGGTCATTTTAATATTTTACCAATCCAGAAACATGGAATATTCTTTGCATTTTCCTCTAGTGTTTCTAGTTGGTTTATAGCTTAATTGCATAGGGTTTTTTTTTTATCCTTTTAAAGGTTTACTTAATATACTTTTTCTTTCTATATGTATGAATTGTATAATTCTCCCCCCTCCCCAAAAGACAAAAAAATTATGTTATGTATGGGCCAAGAATTGTAGCTTCAAAAGTGTATATGGTAGCACTGTAGCACTGTCCTCCCATTGTTCATGGATTTGCTCGAGCTCACCCAGTAAGTCTCCATTGTGAGACTTGTTACTGTATTTGGCATACTGAATACATCACGAGGAGCTTGCCAGACGTTTGCATGCGGGCAAGATACTCTCGGTAGCTTGCCGGGCTCTCTGAGAGGGGTGGAAGAGTGTATACAAAGACAGTAATTAGAGAAAAATAACATAATTTCTTGTTGGTTATTTATTAAATGCAGACCACTCACCAACAAGTTAAGCAGATGAAAAACTATAGATTACACTTATTAGAATACTCTTGTACCCTTTTCTTAATTCTTAGATTTTAGCGATCATAGGTCTACTATTGTTTGGTTAGTGCTGTAATAGAATTATAATGTTCTGCTTTGCAACTATAATTCTTGCTACAATCAGTTGGGAAAAAAATTCAGAAAGACAGTAGAAAAAAACCTCCTCCTCTTCCACAGCTGCAGAAGAGCATCCCACCATACTGCAGAACAGTCAGTTCTTACCAAGGAGGAAATGAAGATGTTATACAATTCTCCATTTTTAACCTTTTGCTCAGAAACCTTGGGTAGAATGTATATATTGTGTTCGAGTACACTAAATATGCCTAAAGGGTTTATATAATGGAGTCTTTAAAGATGACTGAATTTAAGGGACCAAGGAATGTGACTCAATGGTAAAGTGTATGCATGAGACCTGGTTCCATACTTGCAGAGAGAGAGAGAGAGAGAGAGAGAGAGAGAGAGAGGAGGGAGAGAGAGAGAGGAGAGAGAGACAGAAGAGGGAGAGAGAGAGAGGAGAGAGGAGAGAGAGAAGAGGGAGAGAGAGAGAGGAGAGAGGAGAGAGAGAAGAGGGAGAGAGAGAGAGAGAGTGAGAGAGAGAGAGAACCTGAGAAATGATTATCATGTTCTGTGAATTGTAATCTGTCACCCTTGCAAACTTATAATTCTGGGACTGGGGAATGTGGCTCAGTGGCAGAGTACATGTCTTGCATGCTTGAGGCCCTGAATTCAATGCCTGGAACCACAGAGTGGGGTCACCATTGCCACCCCAATACATTCATACAACAGAATGTATGAACCATGGCAACACCACTTCAACAATAACAAAATTTTGAGCACTTGACTTGCATGTGTCAAGTGACTCTGGGTTAAATTCTGGGAATCACACACAAAGGAAAAAAATTCACCCACAAAATTTGCAATGCTGACTGTCCTAGTAAAGAATCTACTGTCCTCGCTGTGATATTCTAAATGACATGCTTAAGTCCTGAAATATATAATTACCTAGTAGAGTTTTCGGATCTAGAAAATGAACTTCGGAATTTCCTGATTCTTTTACATAGAAAGGATCCCACCCATGTCTTTGCTGTTTCCAAAGACAGATGGAGCTTGAGCAAAAGTAGAGCAGGTAAGGCACTTGCCTTGCATGAGGCTAACCTGGCTTCAATCCCTGGCACCCCCTCTGATCCCCCAGAGCCTTGCCAGGAGTGATCCCTGAGTGCAGACCTATGATTAAGTCCTGAACATTGCCAGGTATGGCCCCCAAACAAAACAAAAAGCAAAAACAAACCATAGTAAGAGTTTCATCTCAACTAAGTCAGCACGCAGGCAATTTAAAGCAACCAACATCTCTCCCAATACAGCTTGGACAGGTCACTCCTGGCAATTCTGAAGTCCAGAACACATAAAAAAGAATGTGGCATTGCATGCTGAAAGCATTCATACCAGCACAACCTTATGAAATGGCAAATTATTTATTGAAGGTTTCTTCCCTGACCAGGGAGAAAGGCCACAGAGAGAGTAAGGCACAAACCCTCAGAGGGAGCCTGAGATTGACCCCAGAAAACACAACACCATCTCACATCCGGGTGGAGCCGGGGCTGGGGGTGCAGTGAGGAGACAGTGGCCAGCGCTGGAATAATCAGAGCATGTTTCACTCAGGAAGTTCTGAGTTGGAGTTTGCGAGATAAATATGCATTTACCAGGTGAAAAAGAAGAGGAACAAGCTTGGAGAAATGAAGAAAGAGGCCATGTACTTTGGAATATGATTAGAAGGTTGGTGTGATTGATCTGCAGGTCATAACAATGACTGCAGGCCAACGAGGAGGGCAAGACTAAAGTTAGGGGCACAGAATGGGAGGCTGATGAGCAACATTGCTTCATTATATACTGATTGGTACCTGTGTCCAGACACCTTTCTGTCTGCCTAAAGAAGATGGGGCTGGAGCAATAGCACAGTGGGTAGGGCATTTGCCCCACATGGGTTCGATTCCCGGCATCTCTTATGGTCCCCTGAGCACCTCCAGGAGTAATTCCTGAATGCAGAGCCAGGAGTAACCCCTGTGCATCACCAGGTGTGACCCCAAAAAAGTAAAAAAAAAAAGAAGAAGAAATACAAGCAAATAGGCAATAACAAGCCCGGTAACAAGTTAAGGACTAGGAATGCACAGAGCACGTCTCTGTACTAGGAGCAACATCTCCAGACTTGAGGAGCTTGGACTGCAGAAATCCAGATGAAAAAGACTTGGTGCAAGTGCAAGAGGGTAAAAAGATTTACTTAAGATAGATTTAAATGCTGCTCAGGAGGTAGAATCATGTTTCAGATGCTATGGGGCTCCCACTTGTACTCAATCGATGTCCCCATGTTCCTCCAACTGCCTGTTACAATTGTCTGAGTGTTTCCTTGAAGACATTCACGTTCAGCATATGAGGAAGACCAGAAAGTATCAGGGTGCCGGCACCCTGATCTTCAGCCAAGGTTAGATGAAAGTCAGTGGGGAAATACCCCAGGTATGCTTCGGCCCTGATGTGGGGCAACCCTGGGGACAGAGCAGGACTGAGTCCCAATTGCCCACAGTCAGTCACCTGCTCATCAGCACACCTCACACTGCTCCCCTCCCTGCCCTCTCACTTCCCCATTCCTGCAAACACCTCCCCAATAAAGTACCTGTACTTTAATCCTTGTATCCGGTTCTCGCTTTGGGGGAAGTGCTAACCTGACTCAACTAGAAAAAAAATGTAGCAAAAGATTAAATGGAAAAATGAAGACTGAGGAGCCAGAGAGATAGCACAGGGGGAAGGTGTTTGCCTTGCACATGGCTGTACCCATTTCCACCTCTGGGACATTATATGTCTCCCCACCCCAGCACTCCAGGAGTGACCGCTGAGCATAGAGTCAGGATAAGCTCTGAGCACCACCAAGTGTGACTCAAACAGTGACCCACACCCCCGCCCAAAAAAGGAAATGAAGACCTAAAATACAAGGCAATAAGACATGTCAGGCATGGAACACACCAACTCCATCCTGAGCAATATTATTCAGGAATAGAAGAGGGATAGTTTGGGGGAGGATGCCACTGGGAAGGCATGACTTCCAGGAGCTCCAGGGACTTGCTATCTCAAAACCCTCAGAGTACGGGTTAAAACTCTTGACTCTGGAAAAAGTGAAAATGAACTGACCAGTAAAGGGGCTGAACAAGAGGGAAAACCAGCAGAAGGAAACATCACAGCTCCTTTTTGGCCTCTTTCTTTGAGGCGAGGGAGTAGAGAGCTCTCGCTGTCGCTTCCAGCCGGCTTCTGTACTCAAGCTTTTCATAGTTGGAAGGACTCACCCCTTCAAAACCATACATGACTCCCCACCAGCAGCCAGCAATGGTGGCTGTTGAGTCGCTGTCTCCGCCATGAAAAAAGGCTCGGTGGGCGAGCTCCTTCCAGGAGTCGCCCGCGGCCAGGATGGCATCGTAGGCAATCATGGGGGCATCGTGGCCACTGCTGCCACCCCACCCGGAGTAGCTCACAGACGTGTAGAACTGATCCCGCTCCTTCACACCAAAGGGCTTGGGGAAGGTCGGGGCTGATTGGCCATCCAAAATCCCTCTAAGTTTTAGGTACTTTTCCCACTGCTCTTCGAAGTAGGACCTGTAGCAAGGAAGAAAAAATTAAGCATCAGTTTAAAAATAAAAAGCTACAAGTCATAAAAGCTTGTTGTGCTACAAATAATATATATTACAGGGGAAATTCCAAGAGAATGCCAGTGTCGATACTAATATCATGCATGATGCAAAACTCAAAGTGAACATTCATCTGACACATTTTTGAACTCAAGACAGTCTGCTCTGTGGCTACCTCGAAGAAGCTGTGTGTAAAGTTAAAGGCAAGAAATAAAGGTTCGTTTTTTCTGAGCTGAAAATAATGGTGTTACCTTTCAAAGGGGAACTTGAGTCTGCGATGTACAACTTGTTATTTACTATTTTTATTAATTTTTAATTTAACTTTACTTTTTATTTTCCCTTTTAAAAAACTTTGGGTCACTCTGCAGTCCTCAGGGGCCACTCTCCTGAGTGCTTTGGGGGAACAGGCTATACTGGAGACACAACATTCTGTGCTAGGACATCTTGCATGCAAAGCATCTCCCAGGTCCCTAAAATTTATTTTCCTAATAAAAATTGTACCTTATTAATAAAATAAAATTTACTTTCTTAATAAAAATGTAAGGGATACAAATGTGACTTGATACACGTACAGTGGAATGATTACTATAGTCACTTAAATCACTTAAAATCACTTAACTTCCCGTTAGTCGTCGATTTGCTCGAGCGGGTGCCAGTAACGTCTCCATTTGTCCCTGTCGCATGCTAGTGTAGCCCAACGGCATCTGTTCACTCTGGGAACATGAAGGGCCTCAAACCGATCTAATTAGTTAAATAGTCACTAATTAACAGATTTTTTTTTTTTTTTTTGCTGTTTGGGTCACAACCAACGTTGCACAGGTGTAATTCCTGGCTCATGCACTCAGGAATTACTTCTGGCAGTGCTCGGGGGATCCTGGGAATTGAACCCCGGTTGGTAGAGTGCAAGGCAAACGCCCTACCCACTGTGCTATCGCTCCAGCTCCTAATTAACAGAGAGCCTCAGATAGTTACTTTTTTTTTTTTAAGATGAACCTGGAAAACCGTGAACTAAGGGTGCTTTCAGCAGAAAATTCCTGGACCTTTTTATTGTGAGAAAGACAATACAAAGTAAACTCGCACAAAAAAAGAGAAAGTTATGGCCCAATGATTTATTAATTGGCTGACGGAAAAGTCGAACCTCTTGCATAGTCTACTATTTGTGTACCAAGACAAGTTCCAGGAGACAAGCAAGAAAGTTCTGGCCAGTAGAGAAGAGCCAAAATGAGAGAAACCTGCAGTCCAGAACAGCCCCTGACCCAGGAGGGAGAGCCCCACGCTGCACTAAGTAGTCACTGAGTTAGGAGGACTGAAACTGAAGTCCTCAGCAGGTGGACAGCAGCCGCTGGACGCGGGCAGTGACAGGTCACGATGGCAGCCACCGTCCTGACCACACTCGCCCACACCCCAGCAGGAGTGTGACACATCTAGAAACTTACCAGTGCTGAAGGTTCTGCTCTACAAAGAAGCCAGATCGCACGACGTACTCTTTCGCGGCGGGCAGCGCGTCCAACAGTCCCCGACCCCACTGCGGGGGTGGCCTGCCACTCACAGCAAAGGCTGTAAAGAGAGCCGACACGAGGGCCCCCAAGTAGCCGGTGGGGTGGTGGTGCGTCATCCGGCCGCTCTCGATGCTCACCTGGATCAGCGTGTCCAGCTGGTCGGGGTGAGGGAACCTGAGGCCAATGCACATGGCCCGCATGGCAGCCCCGCAGCCGCCCTCGTGGCTGTTAAAGGGAATCCTCCAGCCACTGGGCTTGTCGGGCTCCAGCAGCCAAGTGTTCTGCATGCAGGTGCCGCCTGGGAGAGGAGGAGGGGTGCAGCCTGGGTCAGTGCCAGCGAGGCAGAGGCCTGCCGGTGGCCCGCCTGCACCACAGATGGGCCCCTGACCACCTCCAGGAGCACAGAGCCAGGAGGAGGCCCAGAGCATCGGTTATGTATAAGCCCAGGTTGTGGCTTCCCAAATCAAGCAAGCAAACAAACAAACCAAAAAAACCCACCCCAAATAAAACCCCAACTACAAGTCTTTGTATTTATAAATCCCAACCCAATGTCTTTGCTATGTAAATTTCCATCAGGAATTTTTTTGGTTTGGGGCCACACCCAGGAGTGCTGGAGGGCTACTCCTGACTCTGTGCTCAGGGGGTCTCTCCTGGCAGAGCGTGGGAGAGCATTTAAACCCTGTGCCCAGCCCCCAGGGTCGTGGAAACGCTTCTGTAAACCAGCTGATCTCTACCCGCTGTGTCACCTGGGGCCCGGCCGTTCATGTCTCCCATGCAGTCCTGGTAATTCTTAGCAATGAGGGAATAGAGTCGAGACAAGTCGGAGGCGTCGCCGGCTTCCCCGAGCGCTTCGGCTGTGGCTAGGTGCATCACCGTGTCATCGCTGACTCTCCACTTCTCCACGTCTATGGCGTCCAAGCCCCCGAGTTGGGACAGCTCCCGGTGAATCCTCTCCCCATCCCGGAGGAACTCCCACTTTCCGTTGAAGTACCCCAAGGCGTCTCCAGCTGCACTCAGAACCATGGCAGCCACATACTTCTCAGTCAGCCCCCCACACATGGTGCGACTGTCTTGCAAGAAAAATTCAGATATGAAAAGAAAGAAAAATTCAGGCATGCAGAGAATGAAGGGGAAAAACCCTCCTTCCTCCCCCATCACAGCCCTGCCCACATTCTATGGAGCGCTCACTCCTAGCAGGCACTGGCTTTAAGTGCATCTGATTTGCTACTCACAAGAGCACTACAAGGAATGTGTTAGAACCCGGGCCGGAGTGATAGTACAGGGGGTAGGGTGTTTGTCTTGCATGCAGCTGACCTGGGTTTGATCCCCGGCATCCCCCGAGCACCACCAGGAGTAATTCCTGAGTGAAGAGCCAGGAGTAACCCCTGAGCATCACTAGATGTTACCCAAAAAAGCAAAAAAAAAAAAAAATGTGTTAGAACCACTTTACAGACGTGCTAAGCAAGGTGCACAGAGATAAGGCATTTCAGAAATATGAAGTGACCTGCCCTCAGTCACGAGCTAAGAGGTGACAGGGTTGGGTTCCAAACTGAGATTCATCTGACTTCAAATTCCATCATTTCAGCTATGACTCTATTTTGACCTCTTTGAGACTAGCAAGTCCATTAACTTCTACAAATCAAAACAAGCATGTCATTCCCTCTGTTTCGCGGGGATTTGGCCTTGGAAGGGCATCACGCCTTTGCCAACCCCCGAATATACTCAGGGACAGTAGTAGGCAAGGATTATAGTATTTCACAGATAAGTAAACTGAGGCTCAAAGACAGTGAATTCACAGAATCGCAAACACGGGCACTGGAAAGCCAAATCTTCTGGTTCCAGACCACTTCACCTGAACACAGACCCGCTTGCCTGGGCCACCTCTGAGCCTCAGTCTGAGCTAATCAGCAAAACACAGAGAAAGGAAAATCATCTGTGTTTGTGTGCAGTGAAGGAAGGAGTTTTGCAAACCACTTAGCACACAGGGAGCAGCACTATTTTGATCGCCGGTATACAACCAGGGGAAAGTACTCTATTATTGAAGTACAATATTTTCTCCCTCCACCCTCAGCCCGGAATTCCGTTCAACTGCAATACTTAAATTTTGTTGTCCTTCTAAGCAGTTGGTTTCTAGGATCTTGACATCCCTGCATAAAGAATCCCGCCATGGTTTGGTTTCCCTGAGCACGTTTCCGAATTCCAGTCGTGCCCTAATCCTGTAGCACTGCTAGTCCCAAACGCCACTTGGCTGATACTCCTCCTTCACCACCCCCACGCATATCCAGGGGGCATCCAAACTCTGACAACCCTGGGAAGCGTCTTCATTCCCCCCCCCCCCCACCTCCAGGTCTTCCTCACCCAGGAAGCCCTCTCTCCCCTGCCCTTACCCTTTTATTTAGGGCTTGGTGCCAAGTCCCAGGGCCCCCAGGAATCCTTCCCGTCCTGGCACACCTGAGCTTGCGCAGGGGGGTGAGTCTGCAAGACCTGTTAAGTGTAAACCGATGCATTTGGATTAAACATACCAAGGCCTACTACTCCGCATGCAGGTTCCTTAACTCATATATATCTATATGTATATATATATATATATATATATATATTTTAAATGTAGAAATGGGTGTTCTGAGCTTACTAGACCTGACTCTGTCAAAAATCAGTCATGATGGGCTGGAGATAGCACAGGGGACAGAGCGTTTGCCTGGCACGGGGGCAACCCCGGCTCGATGCCCAGCATCCCATATGGTCCCCCGAGCACCGCCAGGACTAATTCCTGAGTGCATGAACCAGGAGGAGCCCCTGTGCATCGCCGCCGGGTGTGTGACCCGAAAAGAAGAGGAAAAAAAATTAGAATCAGTCCATGAGTGTGAGCAAGTTTCCCCATCCTGCAGGTAAACTGGTTTCGGGGATCCCATAGCCGAGGGCTCCCCGGGGTGTCCGTCCCGCGTGCTCGGGAAGGGCAGGTTCCAGAGGGGCGATGGGCAACCCGCCCCCCCCCCGGCTACGCGGGCCTCCCGCCGCCTCCCCCGCCACCTGCGGGCGGGCCTGGGCGGGTCCTTCCCTCCCACCGAGCACCCCGGGAAATCCCTTGCAACGTCCTGCAACCTCGGGCCTCCCGCTCCAGCCGCGGGGACGCCGCGCGCGTCCTAGTGATCCTCGTCCTTTGACAGGCCCGTCCTAGAGCCGAGGACTCCAAGTGCACCGCGCGGCTCTTGCATCCAGCGAGCCCTTGGCCTTGGGGGGGCGCACGGCCACCTCCCCGGAGCTCAGAAGGCGGGGACCCCTCCCAGCAGCACCCAGCGGCGCTGCGGGGCGAAGGTCCGAGGGTGTGGTGGCTGCAAAGGCCTGCGCGTAGGGACTCCGGGGCCCGAGGGCGCTGGGGGTTGTGGGGGAAGGTGGGGGGACCTAGGGCCACACCCCGGAGGGCGGGATCCGAACCCTGGGCGACCTCCGGCGCCTCCCCTCTTTGCTCCCGAGCGGCCGGCCGAGGGCTGGGGTCGAGGTGCAAACGCGCACCCGGCGCCTAGAGGCCGCCGCCGCCCCCGAGGGGCACCGGGGCGCAGCGGGAGGCAGGGGCGGGCTGTGCCCCCGGGGAGGGGTACCTGGTGGCCGCGGGCGGGGTTCGAGACGCTTGACAGCCGGCCGGCTTCCGGGAGCGGAGAGACGACCCCCCCCAGGCACACTCACACACACACACACACACACACACACACACACACACACACACACACTTCCTACCCCGGCCCGCCCCAGAGAGGGCGGAGTCGTGTCACCCGGTCACAGTGTCGTGCCCCGCCCGGGCCCCGCCTGGGGACACCCTCGCCCTGCAGTCTGCAGGGCCACCCAGGATGCGCCGCTCACCCCCAGCGTGCCCGCCCCGTAGGACCGGCTCCTCCTGTGCTGGACAGGAGTCCGATCATTTTCACTCTTTTTTTTTTTTTTTTTTTTAGCCAGCACAATCCAATTTTCTCAGCCCGAGTGTAAATAAAAGCTAAGAGATATCCGGGGTGTTCTTGTGCTAATCACTTAGGATCACTTCAGAAAAGAATTAGAGGGGTCAGTCCGGCAGGTAGGACTCTGGCCTTGCAAGGGCTAACCCGGCTTCAATCCACAGGACCCGGCACATCACACCCCCCTCCCAGTCTCCCCAGGAGTGATCCTGAACACAGCCAGTGTGCCCCAAACAAGAACAAAACAAAACATCAACATGCTCAAGTACATACTTGAATAAAATTTTTATCTGCTCTGCCTACTTCCCTTGTGTGATCCAGATTTCACTTGAAGGATTTTTTAATCAAGATAAAATTCACATATAAAATGCACTGATATTTGGTTTGCTGTTTAGGTATATAGATAGACATAAACACACAGATTCATATAAATGCATACGTGTATACATGGTCAGCCATGACCACAATATAAGCCATTTTTATTATTCCAAAACCTTCCTATGTGTGTATCTCGGGTCATAACTTCTAGGGCTGTGGGGAGGGTAGGGGAGGAGGGAAGAGGGAGGGAGGGAGGGAGGAGGAGCTCTATTCTGGGGAACTAGGCGTGTGCTCTGCCACTAAGCCACGCCACATCACGGGCCAGTCCTAAATGACTTTTAAGTGTTTAACAAAAGCAAAAGATGTTCAACCTCTGAAGATAATGCAAGATCCCCAGTGAAGGAGAGTTTTAATAATTGGCACTCTCAAATAGGGACAGTGTGACTTCTTCTCGGAAGAAACGTCTCAATTTCCTCACTAAACCAACACAGGCAGGCAAGTTACATTAAATTTAAATTTAATTAAATTTAAATTTACATTTTAAATTTCTCCTTGGCCATCTTTGCCAAGAGGTGGATATGTATCAAGGTTTTCTCGTAAAGAATAGATGCTCTTCTGCCAAGATCAAATACTGGTCATTTTACTAATTGGGGCGTAATGTAAATCTGAGAAAGAGCAAGAGGTTGGGCAGAAGACAGAAGAGATAGCTCAGGGGCAGGAGTGATAGTAGAGTGGGTATGGCACCTGGCAGACCCGGGTTCAATCCCTGGCATCCTATATGGTACACCTAGCACCACCAACAGTAATTCCTGAGAGCAGAGAGAAGAGCGAACCCTGAGCACCACTGGGTGTACCCCCCCCCAAAAAAAGAAAGAACAGAGAAGAGAAAGCTGGAAGTTGCTGGAGCACATGCTTTGCATGCAGGACCCTGGTTCCATCCCCAGCAGGATCCCACTGAGCACCCCAGGGAGTGCCTCCCCCCAAAAAAGGAAAAACTAAGTTGTTATAGACTTTTAATTTCCACAAACAGTTTGCTGAGGGAGCAGAATCTCTGATGTAGATGGAGAAAACCAGATGAGGTTGACACAGTAATGTCTATTTGGGGGGTTTTATGTGTAAATCAGGGAGCACAGACTCGGGTAGAAGCTCAAACTGTGTCCCTTTGGAGTCTTTGGAGATGGGGTGTTAAAATAAAAAGGAAGAGAGGGAAGAGAGCACTGTCCTCCCGTTGTTCATCGATTTGCTCAAGCGGGCACCAGTAACGTACCATTGTGAGACTTGTTGTTACTGTTTTTGGCATATTGAATACGCCATGGGGAGCTTGCCAGGCCCTGCCGTGTGCCTAGATACTCTTGGTAGCTTGCCAGGCTCTCCAAGAGGGGCGGAGGAATAGAAGCTGGGTCGGCCACGTGCAAGGCCAACGCCCTATTCACTATGCTAATGGTTTACTAAGCTCTAGATTACATTTCTTACCACTTATTTTAGTCAAATTGACCTTGTTACAGGGAGAGGGATCTTTTCCGCCACCAGCAATAAGAAGCCTGTGTGAAGCAGAGACCCGGGTTGGGCCAGTCAGCGTGTGAGTCAGCTGGAGGAGGAGGAGGCCATCCTCTCCAGAGAGAGCCTACAGCCTGACTTCAGGCCCCACCAGGCCGCTAGCCATTTCAATGGGCTTAGCTCCACAGCTCACGCCAGCCCCAAACCTCCAGATAAAGTTAATCTTCTGGCTGACCGTTCCTCATCTAATTTCACTGCTCACAGTTCTAATGATGAGGAAAATAGACCCCTGCCCACTTTTCACACAGGCTAATACCAGAAAGCAGGAGCTGCGGAGGGGAAACTGAGTCTGGGCAGCATGTTAGAAGCATGGGTTGCATTCAGGAAGCCCTTGAGATGGTTCAGAGCCTTGGAGCCTTGGTAACCTGGGAATGTACTCCAAATGTTTTATGTCCTCCAAAAAGTCTCACCCTTGCTTTGCAGGTGGCATGCTGGAGAATTTCTGCATTTGTAGAGGCCCAGACTTCGGAGCACAAACTCAGCTGGGTTGGCCAGCATAATAAAATAAGCTTTCCCATTTTTTAGAGTATGTCCCTTTTTTTTTTTTTTTTTGCTGCCTCTAATTGAGAATTTCGGCGCCAGGGGGCCAGGTGGTGGGTGTGACCCCCGCCTACTGGAATTTGGAGGATCTGGGTGGAAGATGCTCGACTCCAATTCGAGTAGGCTTGGAGGTCTCGGCCCCGGAACCCGCGTGGCTTTGTCCCTCTGCCAGTACCTTCAGGTGTGCGGAGAGTGGTCTCAGCATGGTGGTGGCTGGTCCTGGAGGTCTCCGGCTGCCGTAGCCCTGGCCGGGGCGGGGAGGAAAGCTCAACCCGCTCCCCTCCAAGGGACTCCGGGAAGGAACACCGAGGCGCGGGGGCAGAGACTGCACTGCTCTCGTCCGGGATCTGGATTTTATAGTCTCTGAGTCTTGGCCGCTGATGGGATTACACGGCGCCAGGGGGCCAGGTGGTGGGTGTGACCCCCGCCTACTGGAATTTGGAGGATCTGGGTGGAAGATGCTCGACTCCAATTCGAGTAGGCTTGGAGGTCTCGGCCCCGGAACCCGCGTGGCTTTGTCCCTCTGCCAGTACCTTCAGGTGTGCGGAGAGTGGTCTCAGCATGGTGGTGGCTGGTCCTGGAGGTCTCCGGCTGCCGTAGCCCTGGCCGGGGCGGGGAGGAAAGCTCAACCCGCTCCCCTCCAAGGGACTCCGGGAAGGAACCCGAGGCGCGGGGGCAGAGACTGCACTGCTCTCGTCCGGGATCTGGATTTTATGGGTCTCATTCTCCTAAAGAGCCGTGAATATAATCTCAGGGCTAGGATGAAAGAGACGTTACTGGGGCCTGCTCGAGGCAATCGACGATTAACAGGATGATGAAATGATGAAATGAAATGAATTGAGAATTTCAAAACATTCATTGGGAAGATGGCAGGGAAGGAAAAGAGTATGTAGCAGCCTCGTTCTTCAGAGTCCCCAGGGGCCTCAGCAGGAGCACAGCAAACATAAAGGGGACACTCACCAGGAGTGCTCCCTAAGTGCCAGTCTGCAGCCTGAGCACTGATGATTACTGCCCACAAACAAACCAGAAACAGAGACACACAGAGCTTCACAAAAATAAATGCACCACAATGTTCTTTGCAAACCCATTTCTAATAGCAAAGGTTGAAAATGATGTCTGTTT